CCATGTGCCTTAACATTTTCTATATAGAAAACATGTGTCTCAATACTTTTCTTTAAAAAAATTGTAACCCAATTATTTTCTATATAGAAAACTTGTTTCTCCAACACTTTTCTATATAGAAAACTTGTGTTTCTACGCTTTTCTATATAGAAAACATGTGACTCAACACTTTTCTATATAGAAAACATGTGACTCAACACTTTTCTATATAGAAAACGTGTATCCCAACACTTTTCTATAAAGAAAACTTGTGTCCCAACACTTTTCTATATTGAAAACTTATATCACAACACTTTTCTATATAGAAAACTTGTGTCTCAACATTTTTGTATATAGAAAACTTGTGTCTCAACATTTTTCTATATAGAAAACTTTTGTGACAACATTTTTCTATATACAAAACTTGTGTCCCAATACTTTTCAATATAGAAAAGTTGTGTACCAACACGTTTTTCTAGAAAACTCTTTTCCCAACACTTTTCTATATAGAAAAGTCTTGTTCCAACACTTTTCTCAATAGAAAACTATTGTCCTAACATTTTTCTATATAGAAAACTCTTGTCCCAACTCTTTTCTATATAGAAAACTCTTGTCCCAACTCTTTTCTATATAGAAAACTTGTGCCTTAACATTTTTCTATATACAAAACTTATGTCTCAACACTTTTCTATATAGAAAACTTGTGTGCCAACACTTTGCTATATAGAAAACTTATGTCTCAACACTTTTCTATATAGAAAACTTGTGTCCCAATACTTTTCCATATAGGAAACTTGTGTCCCAAGGCTTTTCCATATAGAAAACTTGTGTCCCAATATTTTTCCATATAGGAAACTTGTGTCCCAAGACGTTTCTATATAAGAAACTTGTGTCGCATTACTTTTCTATATAGAAAACTTGTATCGCAATAGAAAACTTGTGTCCCAACACTTTTATACATAGAAAACTCTTGTTCCAACTCTTTTCTATATAGAAAACTCTTGTTCCAACACTTCTCTATATAGAAAACTTGTGTCCCAAGACATTTCTATATAGAAAACTTGTATCGCAATACGTTTCTATATAGAAAACTTATGTCCCAACACTTTTCTATATAGAAAACTTGTGTCGCAATACTTCTTTTCTATATAGAAAACTTGTATCGCAATACTTTTCCATATAGGAAACTTGTGTCCCAATACTTTTCTATATAGAAAACTTGTGTCCCAATACTTTTCTATATAGAAAACTTATGTCTCAACACTTTTTTATATAGAAAAGTTGTTCTTCCAAAACAAATCTAGGACTTGTTGATGCTAAAGCTCTGTTCTCGTAGGGATTACGGTTTCCGGTCTTTTAATATAGATATTCAGATCTGTTTTGTCTCCCAGTTTAGAGTAATAAGAGATCAAGGCAGGGGCTTGCTCCAATGTTCCGTTTGACCACTATCTTACCTTAATGGTACCAATGTCTCAAAGTTCTCTATAAATTCTCCTTCTACTTTCCCATCGTCCTAGTCTATTGTTTGGGCATAGCCTTCCAATATGTCTAGTATACATTGATGGCGAGTCCTGTATCCGACTTTCCTGTATCAAGGGTTTTAATATATATATTCAGACCTGTTTTTCTCCCAGCTTTGAGTAATAGCAGATTTTCGCAGGGGGTTTGCTCATATTTTTTGTTTGACCAAGTTCCCGAAAATTTATCTTTCTGTTTTGGAATCGGTCACGTCTGTTGTTTGGCTATAACTGTTCAAGGTTTGTCTCCCAGTTTAGAATAACAACAAACGACCACAGGGGCTTGCTGTAATCTTAAGGTTGACCCTGATTACCTATATGGATCCAATGTTTCGCAATTCCCAACAATTTCTGTTTTCCTTTTGTTATCGGACACGTCTGGTCTTTGTGCATAACCCTCCAATATGTCCAGTAGACATTGATGATGTATCCCGTAACTGGCTTTGATCTATCTATATGCCTAATATTAATAGGTGCTCGGTTGAGAGAGCTTGTGGACTAACATAAGATACTCTTTTTGTCAACAGCACATATTATAGAAGACTGAGGCAGGAATGGTTTATCTATCGCATTTTGTAAAGCCAGTTTGTTAAATTTAGACTAAATCCCCATTTGAAACCTAAGGCTCGCCCTCATATCACCCAACAGCTTATACAGCTTATACGTTGTTTCATTCCTCTATGCGTTATTTCAATCTTAGGTTAGGATCTAGTTTAAGTCTATGTATTTAACCCTGTAGGTCTTTGATATTAGTTTGCTCAAGAACCGGTATTCAGGCGAGACAGGAATTTCGGTATGGCTTATGAGAACATATATTTCCTTAGGATTGACAAACAGATATCTTGATTGAGACCAACCAAAAGCCGTATTTAAAGCTTTCTCGACATAAATAATATGGAGCCATGTCCCTTAGGGGACTAGTCTAAATCCTACATCGATTAAGGTCCTTTCTACATAAATACTTATGACGTCATTTTGTGGACTTTGTTTCCCAAGCACCCAACAGCTTATACAGCTTATACGTTGTTTCATTCCTCTATGCGTTATTTCAATCTTAGGTTAGGATCTAGTTTAAGTCTATGTATTTAACCCTGTAGGTCTTTGATATTAGTTTGCTCAAGAACCGGTATTCAGGCGAGACAGGAATTTCGGTATGGCTTATGAGAACATATATTTCCTTAGGATTGACAAACAGATATCTTGATTGAGACCAACCAAAAGCCGTATTTAAAGCTTTCTCGACATAAATAATATGGAGCCATGTCCCTTAGGGGACTAGTCTAAATCCTACATCGATTAAGGTCCTTTCTACATAAATACTTCTGACGTCATTTTGTGGACTTTGTTTCCCAAGCTTTTGTATGTAGGAAATTGGGCTGTAACTCCCCTCTTTATAAGACTTTTCCATATAGAAAACTTGTGTCCCAATATTTTTCCATATAGGAAACTTGTGTCCCAAGACGTTTCTATATAAGAAACTTGTGTCGCATTACTTTTCTATATAGAAAACTTGTATCGCAATACTTTTCTATATAGAAAACTTGTGTCCCAACACTTTTATACATAGAAAACTCTTGTTCCAACTCTTTTCTATATAGAAAACTCTTGTTCCAACACTTCTCTATATAGAAAACTTGTGTCCCAAGACATTTCTATATAGAAAACTTGTATCGCAATACGTTTCTATATAGAAAACTTATGTCCCAACACTTTTCTATATAGAAAACTTGTGTCGCAATACTTCTTTTCTATATAGAAAACTTGTATCGCAATACTTTTCCATATAGGAAACTTGTGTCCCAATACTTTTCTATATAGAAAACTTGTGTCCCAATACTTTTCTATATAGAAAACTTATGTCTCAACACTTTTTTATATAGAAAAGTTGTGTCCCAATACTTTTCGATATAGAAAACTTGTTCTTCCAAAACAAATCTAGGACTTGTTGATGCTAAAGCGCTGCTTTCGTTGGGATTACGGTTTCCGGTCATTTAATATAGATATTCAGATCTGTTTTGTCTCCCAGTTTAGAGTAATAAGAGATCGAGGCAAGAGCTTGCTCTAATGTTCCGTTTGACCACTATCTTACCTTAATGGTACCAATGTCTCAAAGTTCTCTATAAATTCTCCTTCCGTTTTCCCATCGTCCTCGTCTATTATTTGGGCATAGCCGTTCAATATGTCTAGTATACATTGATGGAGAGTCCTGTATCCGGCTTTCGTCTGGAAACAAGTACTGTGTGGTAGTATATTCCTGTATCAAGGCTTTTAATATAGATATTCAGCCCTGTTTTTCCCCCAGCTTTGAGTAATAGCAGATTCTCGCAGGGGGTTTGCTCTAATGTTCCGTCTGACGACGATCTCAAAGTTCCCGAAAATTTCTCTTTCTCTTTTGCCATCGGCCACGTCTGTTGTGTGGGTATAACTGTTTAAGGTTTGTCTCCCAGTTTAGAATAACAACAGACGACCTGTATCAAGGGTTTTAATATATATATTTTCAGACCTGTTTTACCCCCAGCTTTGAGTAATAGCAGATTCTCGCAGGGGGTTTGCTCATATTTTTTGTTTGACCAAGTTCCCGAAAATTTATCTTTCTGTTTTGGCATCGGTCACGTCTGTTGTTTGGCTATAACTGTTCAAGGTTTGTCTCCCAGTTTAGAATAACAACAGACGGCCGCAGGGGCTTGCTCTAATATTAAGGTTGACCATGATTACCTATATGGATCCAATGTTTCGCAATTCCCAACAATTTCAGTTTTCCTTTTGTTATCGGACACGTCTGGTCTTTGGGCATAACCCTCCAATATGTCCAGTAGACATTGATGATGTATCCCGTAACTGGCTTTGATCTATAGGCCTAATATTAATAGGTACTCGATTGAGAGTGCTGCTCGTGGACCAACTTAAGATACTCTTTTTGTCAACAGCACATATTATAGAAGACTGAGGCAGGAATGGTTTATCTATCGCATTTTGTAAAGCCAGTTTGTTAAATATAGACTAAATCCCCATTTGAAGCCTATGGTCCGCCCTCATAGCACCCAACAGCTTTTAAGCTTTGTTGTTTCATTCCTCTATGTGTTATTTCAATCTTAGGTTACGATCTAGTTTAAGTCTAGGTATTTAAGCTTGTAGATCAGGAACCGGTATTCAGTAGAGACAGAAATTTCGGTATGGCTTATGAGAACATATATTACCTTAGGCTTGACAAACAGATATCTTGATTGGGACCAAGCAGAAGCCGGATTTAAAGCTTTCTCGACATAAATAATATGGAGCCATGTCCCTTAGGGTACTAAATCCTACATCGGTTAAGGTCCTTTCTACATAAATACTTATGACGTCATTTTGTGGACCTTGTTTACCAACCATTTGTATGTAGGAAACCTATGTTTTAATTCCTTTAAATATAGCGAAATTGGGATGTAACTCCCCTCTATGTAGAAAACTTGTAGGGAGCAGTGGTCTGAATAATTCATTTACGATTTCGAAATCTGTACTCACCTTTAGTTCTACGTGTAGCTGATGCTGAAGCCTCATAGGCGTCTTTGTCTGTTATTTCTTCTTTTATAATCGTTTTACCGTCGAGAGCCATCTAAAAAGACATACAAAAAACACTTGTAATTAATAATTTTTACGAAAATAATTAAAAAACATTTTAAATATAAATAAACCTAAAAGCAGCCATTACTTAGCTGCATATAGTATAATAAACACAATCAGCAAGTGATGAATTTCTCACATTATTAAGAAGCACTGTTTTTTTTTTCAATTTCAAATATTTAAATGGATTTATGCTCGGAATTAGTGTCTGACATGCAAAACCCACAACTCTAAAACGAATGGAGCTAAAACACACACAAACAAGTAACAGACAACGAGACACATAGAAAAATCCCTGTCATAAATAAATTTACATGATTTTCTAAGTAAATAATAATAAAAATGTAAATATATGGAAGAGGAAAGGGGAGAGGGAAAATAAAATATGTAAACAAAATATCACAGCGATAATTATAATGATATAGACAGATAGTCAGTCATATAGACAGGCAGACAGACAGAGGTAACGCCCGCAAAATGTCTGTTCAAGTTGAATGAAAAAGAACAAAAAATTTTGCCCATAAAAATGTTGTCAAATACTAAATTAAAATGTGGGAAATTGACACATACATACATACATCAAATGCTACTTTATTATGGTTGTTGTTGTCGTTTATAGCAACAACAAACACAATAAAGAACTTAATAACAATAACTAAAATTGAAACTACCATTTAAAACAGCTGTTAATAATACTCAAATATAAAAAAAAAATACTGTTTAACTAACTGTATTTCAATCAATTGCTAACGAGAGAAGTGCAGGGAAACGGAAGTATAAACAAACAACCGTTACCCAGGTATAAGTATTGCAGTACTAGTCTGGTAGAAGCGTAACGTAAACCTTCATTTAACCAACTAATCAAATAACAGTAACACTTGCGGCAAATTAGTATTTAAACAACGCCAGGCAACATTTGGTTGATTGAAGCCAATACATACATACATCCATATTGTAGCACTGATGGCACTGCGAATGATGATAAAGTGTCGAAAATGTAGAGAGTCCATTAGGTATATAGTAAATAAAATTAATGAAATGTATTGTTATAATGGGAAAAATATGGTGTTTTAAAATTCTATTTAAGTCTATAGAAAGCTATTAAACCAAAGAACTAATAAAATTAACGTTAGGCGAAACAATCGTAACGTAAGTTTATTCGAATGGCTAGCACCAGAAAGTCTATCTTATCCTATCAAACAGGCTTATTAGAATCGGAATTTTAACGAGATATCGGGTGGATCTTCCTAGAAAAGTACTTTAAACTATAGAGAAGACATTGTACTACACTATACACTAGACTGTAGACTAGACTGTAGACCAGAGATACAAGCCGAGACGGCTCAAATCGGCGGCGGCTGGCCGCCGGTAATATTTTGCAAGCCGCGCCGCCGCCGACTTCTTTCGGCTCAAAAGCTAAGCCGGCTTAAACGTAGCCGCTGATAAAGATTAGAATCGCACATGTATTTCAGAACATAATTTCACCAAATTGAACGGAGTTGCCACTATTTTAAATTCTTATGGCAAATTGAAAAGAGTTGCTACACAATATTGTGCTAATATTAAAATAGTGAAAACTACTATAAATGTCCATTTTCTGCAGAAAAAAACTTATATAGAGACAGGTTTCTATGTAACAGACTATTATACAAAGATTTTTTCAATATAATGAACCTTATAAGGTCAATTTTTAAAGAAAAAGTTAAATTGGGCCGAAAATTTAGCCGCCGCCGATATTTTCTGTAATAAGCCGCCGCCGCCGATCATTTCCCATCGGCTTGTATCTCTGCTGTAGACTAGACTATAGACTAGACTGTAGACTAGACTATAGACTAGACTGTAGACTAGACTATAGACTAGACTGAAGACTAGACTCCAGACTAGACTATAGACTAGATTATACACTAGACTATAGACTAGACTATAGGCTAGACTATAGACTAGACTAGACTAGACTATAGACTAGACTATAGACTAGACTATAGACTAGACTATAGACTAGACTATAGACTATAGACTAGACTATAGACTAGACTATAGACTAGACTGTAGACTAGACTATAGACTAGACTATAGACTAGACTGTAGACTAGACTATAGACTAGACTATAGACTAGACTATAGACTAGACTATAGACTAGACTATAGACTAGACTATAGACTAGACTATAGACTAGACTATAGATATAGACAGACTATAGACTAGACTATAGACTAGACTATAGACTAGACTATAGACTAGACTATAGACTAGACTATAGACGAGACTATAGACTAGACTATAGACTGGACTATAGACTAGACTATAGACTGGACTATAGACTAGACTATAGACTAGACTATAGACTAGGCTATAGACTAGACTATAGACTAGGCTATAGACTAGACTATAGACTAGGCTATAGACTAGACTATAGACTAGGCTATAGACTGGACTATAGACTAGACTATAGACTAGACTATAGACTAGACTATAGACTAGACTATAGACT